AAAAATAAAGCATAAATATTTAAATATGCTAAGTTAGAAAAAACGTATACAACCGAATATTATTCGAATGATTATTTGAATTATCCAGCTACGTAACCTTTGACGATCCGAGAATTTCCGAGAATGTGTCGTTTACTGTAGCGAGTTTATACATTACGTATATATATTTTTAATTCTTTTAAAGAAATCATATTGATAGATTTAGCGATATAAAAAGAAATTATAATATAATTTTATATTTGAGTAAAAATTATTGCAATATGCATAGAAAATGCAACAAATGTTATATAATGATGTAAGCATTAAAATTGATTTGTTAAAACCTTTAATAAGTTTGTATTTGCCTATAATTGTGAATTCAATACTTTAATATTCTCAATTAAAAATACTGGCAAATAAAAGATAAATGATATTAAAGAATCCAGTATTATTATATAGGGACCGGGAGTATATTTTAGAATCTTTATCTTAAAACAACAAAAACCAATGAATGCAATGCTGATCAATGATATGAAAACGGTGGAGTTTGTTTTTTCATTCTGCTAACTATCAATGTACATTGGATATAATCAAATGTACGTAAGAAAGCTGCATTTAGCCAAAGCATAAAAGTAAGAGATATATGCTCTAAGTTGTCCATGAGAATATTCGAACATGCCCAAATTGTAAAACGATCAATAATGGTGTCAGCGCTCTTTCTAGCGTCTCTGTCATAGTTTCCGAATCGTCGGTTAGTATTTTATTTGAATTATTTCTTGCTGCACGAGACAAACACGTTTTAATATTTTTTATAAGATTTTCAGAAATAATTTTGCAGTTCCTCTAAAAACTTTGTGAGTACTAAACTGTAAGATACACTAAGGGATGACATATTTATATGCGTTTAACCAAGTATTGAACATCGTAATGGACACACAGATAATCTAGATTAGATTGCCTTTCTTTTTGCGGAATTTTTATTTATAGATACGTAGAGTAAGGCCACTAGTTATGGTTCACTCTTAAGAAAAATATCCATATTTTTATCTAGAATGAAATCAAACAATTAATAAAATAATTTAATAGTTATGATTAAATAAATTTAATGATTTAATATATTTAATAGTTATGATTGATTATAAAGATTACATTATGGATGACTTTATTTCATTTCGATACCGTCTTATATGTTTTAATTTTAATTAAATTAAGTAATGACAATTATCCACAATTAGATCTCATGTATTAATTGCTGATTAATTCACCAAATGCTTTATTCTTCCTGGATTTAATTTCACTTGAGCATGATATTGACTTTTTTATGAAATTTAATGCTATCTACTATCTCCTAAAGCTAGAAGGTAATTCTTATAGTATTACAGAATTTTTAATATACACATCTTAATTTATATTTCATGTTTTATTAACTAACATCATTATTAATTAACATTATTATTAATAAAATATGCAACGCTATTGCTGAGAAATAAAAAACAATTGACACTGAAAAGGATAAAATAAATACTAAAAATCTGTGATATGCATTATTTGATATAAAATACTTATTTAAATATATTAAAATATAATAAAATAATTATTTACATATTATATGTTGTATAATGTACGTATATACTATTTAACCAGCAAGTATTGAATGACAGAATGAGCACACAGATAATCTAGATTAGATTAGATTGAATTCCTTTTCGCGAAATTTTTATTTTTGTATTAGTACAATATTTGCAACATTATGTCTTTATATTAATTATAAGTATAAATGTGTGCAATGAATGCTTTTTACTTATACGGTTTCTAACGACATGTGCCGAGTTTGAAGCTGATAACTTTGATAAAATATTTCATACACTGAAGTTACGTACACAACATAATGCTCTTTGTAAAATAAAAATAAATATAATTACTTTTAATATAATTTATCAACGTAACATAAAACATAATGTTAATTTTATTATTATTTTTCATTTTTATTCTACGAAAATACAGTATTTTTATTATATACATATAATTTTATATACTTGAAATAATCAAATAATTAGTGAAGTTGCTCAAAACTTTATTATTCCTCAGGCTTTAAATGAAATTGCTACATTGAACGTAGACGATAATTAAAATATTAAACATCTGATTAATATATTATATATAGGACCAGAATGTGAAAGTTTCTTATTGGCTTAATCTCTTGAATTTGTGCAACAAATTAAATTAAAATGTTTAGATTTTTATAAAACAGCTCTTAAAGAAATGAAACAACTTTATCTTATAAAGATATTTTTTTTGAACAACTAAGTTTCTTAGATCCTAATGTTGCACTTTTTATTAAAAGTAGAGATATATTTAAAGATTTGTCTAATATTGCCACGCAAATAGGAAACATTGATGTTATAAAACTCACACTTGAATGGCAAAATTTACATTTAAGTTTTTAATACTTTAGAAAAAAAAACTAATTTTTTTAGAAATAATGGAAAAGAATATTAAATTTAAAAATTTTAACGATAAAAAAAGTTTCCAACTTTAGAATTATTAGTAGAATCTGTTCTGTCTCTACTTCATTCTAACGCTGAAGCGGAACAAATATTTTCAATTATAAGTGATGTATGGTAAAAATTGTAATCGATTGTCTAATGAAACCATTTCGGTCATTTGTAAAGTCCGATCGTATTTTCAATCTGAAAATATAAATTGTAAGTTTTGAACCTGATAAAAGACATTTGAAATTTTATAATACACAAAATTTATATTCAAGACATTAATTTTATGTTTTATTTTTAATTTTTTAATGATTATATTGTTGTTTTTATCTTATTTTCATTATTAAATTCATATTTTTCTAATAAAGTTCAGTGTTAATATTTATTTATCATTTTATTTTAATTTTTTTAAACAACTGTCTAGTCGAATTTTTCTTTTATATATAATATATTGTATTAAATGACATTATTAATTATTTTTTGTTAAGTTTATTTGTTTCAGATAAGTGCTTCGAATATAATAAATACATGTTGTATTGTATATTATTTATATGTATATGTGATTATTTATATATTAAATGGGATTGTAATGCTAATATTTTATTTTATTTTATTTCATTTTATTATTACAATTATTATTAATTTCTCAATGCATTATTTTTGTATAAATATTCCGTAATCCTATTCTTTCTTCACATATTTTTCATTTCAGTACTGTATATAAATTATTTTATATGTAATAGTAAATATATTTATTATTTTATGTAGTCTTATAACTTCGATTATTGATTTACCAAAAAATTGTATGTAATTTCATAAAAATGTCAAAATTGGCATATTCAGAACCCATAAAAATCAGAATCTAATAGTGAACTATAATCAAACGCGCTAAAAAACGGCTCACAGAGGCTTTCTAGAGGAACCCAACCACAAAAATTTCGGACCGACAAGCACGCAATTTTATCCTCAACGATATAAATAGTTATATTTATATGCTGGAAAAATAAATACTTATATATTAATAAATTCTTATTGAACAATTATTTATTAATGATAAATTTCTTTTTATACATATAGAAATTCAATTTTGATAATCTTGTATTTAACGTATATGTACAGAACAGTAATGCAGCCCAACAATTCTGATTGATTGACTCTCTATTATTTTTCCGAGATTCCGTTTTCCGAAAATCCGACTGTCATGGGACACCATCCTTAGTGTGATTCTTTAATACGATTGATTCCTACACTTAGATCCAGCAAAAAGTTAAAGTCAAAAATTAATCATATTAAAGAATGACTTAGTATTAATTGATTAGAGATTTCTCTACTGAACGCAGCCACTATGGTTCCTATATACTTAAATCGAGCAAAAAAACTAAAGACAAGAGCCAATCACATTAAAGGATCAGATAAAGTTTCGGAAGAGTAAACCTCTCGATTTTGTGTGACATATATGGAATTGGCATGTTTAATACCTTAAATCATTAATACATAGAGCTTACATATAAGTGAAAATCTAGAATAAGTGGATAGATGCAGAAGGTCCGATTGCTATGAGCTGTAGATTTCCTAATATATTATTCTTGTATTCTATACGTTATCTGGATTTCCGAATTATTTTCGGAACAAATTAGTAATAGATTTCCAAGTGGAGATAGTATAATAACTTTTACTATGCAATACATTAAATAGATTAAACATATTAAAAATGGAAATCCTACTCATTGAGTTTGAACCATTAGTATGTATTTCCAAATAAAAATCAAATATAATTTAATAGTAAATTCCGGATAAATTTTTAATTACCTGAAATTACAGACATACAAAATAGATTTATGTGAAAATCCCACTAAAGCAAAAATTAGTAATCTAAAAAATATAACCATTTGATTTTAATATGCCACAAATTTAATTTAAGTAAAGCCTTATATGTTAATATTTGTACAAATATGATGAAATACATTTCAAATACATTCGGACATGCCTAGAATTTAGGTGCCAGAGCTTGCTCGATTTTTGTTGCCAATCTGCTGTCAAGTTATGTCAACAAACTCTGACTCACAATCTGCTATCAGATTCTGTCAGCAGGTTCTACTCAATTTCTGCTGCCAGAACATTAATATAGTTTATTTGCATAGAATATTAAGGTTTTGCCAGCAGAACAGAAGCAGACTGAGACATCAGTTACGATCAGTCTGCCAACATCTTCTCATCAAATCCGCTGTCATACCAGTCTATCGACATCCTGCTAACATTCTGTTATCAGGATATATTTTTGACGAAATGCTCGACCACTTGATGTGGCAGTTCGATGAGAATTTTCTCAAGAATTTATATGAAGGAATACTCCATTGAATCTTAAATTCATGTAACAATTGTATATCTTATCATTTTGAATAATCACTATTTATTATTTATTTATTTTTTATTTACGAAATTCAACATGATGACAGTATTTCAACATGATTTAATTGAAATGATTTATTTACAACTTAAATTAATTTTTGTCCTTTTGTATTTGTTATTCATTTACTCATTTTTTCATCATTTTTTTATTAATTAAATAACACATGCAATAATGGTTTCGATTATGAGAGTAAATCGTTTTCACAGAACAAAGTCCATTATATTCTTTTTTCCTCTAAACTAAGAAATATATTATTCTAAATAACCAGAACAGAATTTTTGATGAAAAAAAGGTCCTCCCTTTATCTATTAACATAGCCTTTGTTTCGACATCCAATGTTTCAAAACCTTCTGTCCAGTTTACAGTCGTCATGTTTTTAAAATAGAAGTTTAAGCAATATTTCATCAATTCCTAAAAAATAGAAGCTACACATATAAGTGAATTTAAAAACATGTAGGATAGAGCGGGGCTAATTGTGCATAAGGGCAAGTTGATTAAATGCAAATATTTAAATAATCAAAATATATATAGATACGTCTATGCTTGCGTAAGTAACACAAAGAAAGAGATTACTGTGCCTTAATACAATAATTTGTATCTGGCTGTCAATAGCCAAAAACGTGTGTTTTTACATTTTCGTATATCAAAAGTAAAATTAATAGATTAGTTATTAGATTAATAAAATTATTAGTTACTCTTTTTGGTTTGCGTTGTAATTAAAGCTATTAATAACAATCAAATGTGTTTTTGGAAGTTATTATCGTTATTTTTATTTTTTAACTTTAATATTCAAGTTGCTATTTTATTTACGGTTTTTCAGTTATAAATAAGTATTTCAACACCAATTTGGGGCTTGTCGGACCCAGTATCCATAATGAATCTTATAAACTCAGCTGCTCAAATGAAATCTATCTTTATCGATACTTTTTATTCTATTTTAACGATTAAATATATATTTTACGTTTAATTATTATTATAAAGAGTAAAGATTTTCTAATTTTGTTAATTAATAAGCATTTAAAAAGAGAGAGTATTACAAATTATTACACTATTAATAAAAATTTAATTAATATACATAATCCTTTCAAGTTTTAATCACATTAATTTTTTAATCACATATAATCTCATTAAAAAATTATCTTCAATTTATCTTTCGAGGATGCTTAACATGCCCCATAGGTGGCATATTAATCCACTTTACATTCTTATAATGAACGTATTTTTTTTCTTAGTTATGAGATATTAACGATTTATAAATACTCAATTATTTAGCGAGATGAATATGCAACGTTTTAAAGTATTTACCATTATGAATTCTATGTAAGGCTATGGTTAAAGTCTCATTACAAATGTTTTGAAGCGTTTGGTTAACCAATTAGAAAAAAGAATTTTACAAATTGATCAATCAAAACATTCATTTATTTAAAGCATTCGTAGCATCGCGTTGACTGTATCTTAAAAGTGATATTAGCAGCTGAATAGCTTCAACAGAGCCGGGTGTAGCGAGTGAGGCATTTACTTCATATAAACAATTTAAAGGGAAAATAGCAATTTAATTTCGTACATATTCTAATTCATTAACAGTGATTTTGAATTACGATCCACTTGATGCTAATACATTAAATTGAAGTTAATAAAAAATTGTTTAAGGTCGTCATTAAGTTGAGAAAAATTACACATGCCTAAAAAAGTACCATGTAATGGGATGGAGTCCAAGCTATTCTTATGTATTTTGAATCGCCGAATCTGACATTAAAATAGAACCATCTAGGGTAAATGTTCAGAGCGAAAAAATGGATCGAAAACCTCGAAATCGCTGCTTTTATTAATATATTTTAAGACTATTGGCAAAAAAACTTTTGATTAAACATAGACCATATGTTTCTCAAGTTAAGAAATACTTACCAACCGTCAAAAAATACTGTACTGAAAGCTCTAAAATACTAATACGCTACTTCAAAAAGCAATCTTTGAATCTCAATTGATGGAGAAGATGGCAACAAACGCTATTTACGTTCTCTACATCTCTTGCATAAGCGATGAATTCTGAGTGCCTTACATTACAGACACAGGTTAAATTTATAATAATTCCCGAGGAGTTACACCACAGACAAATTTTCAGGCAAGCAGCCATCAGACACAATAACTGCCCGTACATCACATCTCTACCGTTGTATCTGTGAATATTTAAAAAAGATCGATTTATGTTCATGCGCGTTTCCGCACTCTTTTGTCTTTAAATGTTATTGATCACATTACGGCTTTACCCTCACTCCTATACAGCACAGAAGATTGAAGCAATATAGCTCTGCAATGTTGCAATATTGCAGATTACAATGTAACATTGCAGAGATATTACAGAAATGTCAATTATCAATATGCCTACAAAATGTCAATCAATAATATGCTTGTAATATTCCACAAACATTGCAAAACTGTAATTCTTTAATTGTTACAATAATAATAATAATATAAAAATATGACCTTTTACAGTATTTATGTAGTAGTCTTTTAATTTAAGCCTTTTTTATGATATAATAATTAATATATTTCATTTTATATTTAAATAAAAAATTTATTGCTCTATTATTTGACGGCCATTTCATTAGTTACGTTTTATATTTATTTTAAATATGAAATCAAAAAATTGTATAATATCGAATTTGGATACAATCAATGCATAATTATCAGATAAGACGATAAACAATTAAGTTGCTGAAAACGATTTATCGAAATATTAATTATATGATGAATTATGTATTTATGCCTCATGTGAACGTATTAATAAACTGGCGCCCAAATTTTATTGATAAATTTCATACCGTCATTTTTTAATCGATTTCAATTGACTCGGAATGGTTTCGAATTAAATAGAATCACTGCGATTAACTTATCAAGCGACTGTATTATTATATTAATATGGATAATATTTGTAATTTGTTCGGGACACACATACATGTGCTTTATCCTTACGAATAAATTAATCCTTCAGAATTAATATTATATTTATTAGAATATTTTATGATTTTATCATAAAAAATTGCTTTTGGAAAGCACATATCTCTATAAATGCGATTGGTAGAAAAATTAAAGTTAGTGAGATATATGTTTAGAAATTGTTTTCATTTTAGAGTCTTCGTAAAAAATTTATCCAAATACATTACAATTGCTGGAACGTTTTGTTGCAATATAACAAACAGCGGATATCTTAACATTGTTGGAATTTTGCACAATGATTCAGCAACGTTGCAGCAATGATTTCGCAACCACCATACAATATTGCAATGTTTTAGTGAAATCATTCTGCAATGATTCTGCAATCTTTCTGTGTTGTATGAGGTCTTATTGCCTCCCTGTAAGGCAGCACGCCTTCGTTGGGTTCATTAACATGGTGGATCAGAAAATGAATCATTCTATACGGGGCTGTTGTTCGGAACAGTTGTCATCATCTCCATCATCCTCCATGGCAGCAGATACTTGTAGATATTTCACTTATGTATCACTATAGTTGCATCTAATTGTCAACTCGGGAAACATATGATTTAGGTTTAATCAAAAATTATTTGCCAATGATCTTAGAATATAACAATAAAAGCAGAGATTTCGAAGTTTTTGACTTATTTTTTCGCTCTAGATAGAAAATTTACTCTGGATGGTCCGATTTTTATGTCGGATTCATATTCAGCGACTCAAAATACAAAAGCTGGGTCTTTACCTCAGAATGGTACTTTTTTTCTGTGGACATGTGTTATCAAATACAGGAAAATACAGAAAATTTTTCAATTCAAAATGAACTAGAAAATGAAAGGCAATATAGATTTTGATATAATAATTGATAATTTCGCGTTTATCAAAACACGAAAAATATTATTGTGATTTTAGTAACTGTTTCATTTGTAATATATATGTAAACTTTATAGAATATAACTCCTCTCCTATACATGTGATTGAAATTAAATTAATATTAATATATACATTTAATTAATAAATATATATATTATTAATTACTATTAATTAATATTTGTTATTACACAGTACGACAAAAATCGATTTTTTTTTCTTTTCATGAAAAAACCAAAAAGATTTTGAAAGTAAATGTAAAAAAAGTGCCCGTGTCTCGGTATTCTTTTAATCAAATCATTAACAATTTTTAAGTATCATCAAATGTCTTTTTAAATACTGTACAGGTACTGTACAGTACAGGTTTCCTCCCATAAAAAATTTAAAGAGATGTTCTAAAAGTAAATGTTAGGAAAGCATTTCCGTGTCTCGGTACTGACTGATACTAAAAATTTTCTCGGTAATAAAAAAGACAAAATTATAAAAAAATCGTTAAAATAATTTTGGCTTTTCATGCAATGTGAGAAAGTTAATATGTCGCTCAAAATACACTTTCTTCACAATCATTTGGATTTTTTGCCACCAAATTTGGATGAATTCAGTGATAAACATGGTGAATGTTTTCAAGACATTGAGAAACGCTTCAAAGAAAAAGACATCAGACACAAGCTTGGTGAATACTGTTGGTCTATTATTCGTAATACAAAATCGGAATTCTATAAACGGCAACTCAAATGACCAATTCTTATAATAATTATAATTATAATTCTATTATTATTATTATTATACAAAAATTTGAAAATATGTAAAAAAATAATAATTCTCAGTTATTTTTTTTGTATTCGGACTCATCGCATAATTTTATATGCAAAATCGTCAATTATTGATTTTAAAAAATTATTATGTAATTTAAAACAATTGTAAAAAGCCAATATGAAGCAAATATCATAAACGAATGCATATAAATCGTCAACGATTGATTTGATAAAACTTCGCGAGACACGGATATTTTTCTTTTACATTTATTTTCAAAATCTCTTTGATTCTTTTACGAGAGGAAATGTGTTGTACAGTTACATTTCACAAATCATAAAGAAATATTTTTTACTAAGGAGCGCATTTTTTTATTTTGCCTCGGGTGAAATACCTAGTCCCGGCTTTGAGCTTCAGAATGGAAGATACATTTGTTTATAAAGTAAAAGATTCGCGTCTAGGAATTTTAAAGGGAAGATTATTTTATACCAGGATAGAAAGAGAAAAATGGAAAACATATCCCAATTGGATTAATATGTTAATTATAAATTCTGCAATATTTTTACCTTACAATAGAAAGAAAAATCCATAATAAAAACAAAAAAACAATACTATCAGTTACCTTCTTGTGATGTTCTTCGTTCATGTCGTTGATAAGCTTAAAAAGGTACATGACGTTCGATACATTAATTGTTTTTTTTATTTTTCGTATACAATCCATTTGGAGATTTTCGTCGCATAAAATATCTGCCAATTGCAAAAGATCTACAACAAAGAGATACTTTAGTCGAATACATACGTAATATTCGGCATGTTTAACTCAAACTCACCTAATAGGTTTTCAAAAGATGATAGATTGATCTCACCGGTATATAAATATTCTAAAAATTTTTTATAAATGACATACCTATAATAATTATTCACGATGACTCTGTCAAGAAAAATATATTAAAATATCACAAAAAAATCAAACAAAAAAGGATTTTTTTTAAATATACTTTTTTTGTAAAAATGTACCTTTGACTATTTTCAACATAATTAGTTTGGAACATATTTCTAAAATATGTAGAACGAATCTTCAGGATAACTTTGTGAACATAAATTGGTTGTTTCTCGACCATTATCGTGAGATCACTTGTTGACTTTAGAGAAAGGAAACACGAATTAATTATTAAAGTTGACATGTGTAATATGTAATCACTAAATCTTTCCTTTTGTTACGAAAAAAATGTAATAAAAAGGAAGACATTTAACCCTCAATATTCGTAAAGAGCGTAACTCTCTCGATAGATCAAATGTTTTTTTTCCGATCCCTTTTTACTTTTTGCAAAATATTTTTTGTGCTATGACATTTTAGACTTTCTAACTCAAAAATTCTTTTTCTTAGTCTTCAAACAATAGAAAAAAAAAATTAATTAAAATCGATGCACTACAATCTGAGATAAAAGCAAAAGAAAATGCTACCAACAAAAGAAATGTTACTAACAAAAGAAAAAGGTTAAATATCCGGTAGGGACTTTTTTGAAATGTAGGTACTGAGGGTTAAGATATCAAATCACGAAACGACAGAATGTTATTGAAAAATACGCTAAGACTTTACCAAGGAGATAAAATAGAATTAGGATAATCAGTATAATCAATGTCGGATTGTAAGCATTTTCAATTAATGGCTTACTTGCGATTTTCAACACGCCATCAATTGAAAGAGAAAATTTTTAACATCTTTTAAAGATTCAAAACTAAATTGTAAAAATAAATCGTATTGCAATTCTTATGGACATTCATTGGAAATACTGAATTCGAGAAAAACTAATAAACACACTGAATAGAGTCTAACCTGATCGTTGAATGCAGTTTCTAAATCATTTAATATGTGAAATTCTTCATTTATAAATTCATAGACCACGGACATTGGTGAATGAGCTATCATCGAGTCGGATATGTCAAACGCGTTCGTATATTCACAAGCGATTGATTTTTGAAATGGTATGTTAAAAATAAAACCCCATGCGTATACAAGTCCATCCTTGCTAGACTTAACAAAATTATTGTAATCAATAACAGCGATGTCCGATACTTTTTTTACATTATCTATGTTCATCTGTTGATCAAAAAATTCTCTAATTTATTTTACGCTTTTCTGTTTCCTGTTTGTCACAATACAATTATAGAAACAAATCATTTACCATGATAGGAAACAAAATGTTTTCGCTGTAATTCAGATACAATAGTCCATTAGGGTTTGAACCCCAGCCGTAGAGTTTCCCTTTATCATTTAGAGCAAGAGTATAATCATTCCCACAAGCTATCTTGACTAAACATTAAGATAAATTAGGTTATTCTACAATACTTGCAGACATAAATTCTTCATGTATACATCTTTACATTTTTAGGAATATGTTTTAAAGAAAATTACCAATTGTTTTGCCTGTAAATGCAGCTATTTCACGTGGCTCTTCTATTAAAAAAATTTCTTTTGAGGTGTGGGGAGAACTGGTAGAAGGATTCAATTCCTCAGACAAAATTAGACCCCAACTGAACACTTTGCAGTTATTCGTAACTACCACAAAAAATTTTTTTCCGCAGCTCATACTTGTAATCTTTTCTTTAATATTTATTTGATGCATACTGCATTTTTGTCCTCCGCTCCAAACTTTTGTATAATATATCTAAATTAAATAAATACATCTAATTAAAGTTAATAATTATCATTACTAATGTATTCATGATGATATCGTCGTAATACTTTACTTTGCCATCATCAGTCAAAGCGAGAAAATTAAAACTGTTAGTTGCAGCTTTTACAATTCTTGTGTTGCTCCAATCAATTTTATGGGAAGTATAATATATATGTGAGAGCATATTATAATTTGTCCCAACTAGATCTTCATTATCATTGACTAAAGATTGAACTTCACGAATGAATGTAATTTTTGCAGTTATATTGTCCCATACATATTTCTTTTAAAAAGATAACGTGATTTATTCAGTTAAATCAATTATACAAGATGTTATTTTTTTAAATTGAAATCCTTGAATATTTTATTTTTCCTTAATAATACGAAGAAATTTTTCAAATGAAATTGGAACTGTTTCGAGAGATACATACTTCGATCACATTTTTTTCTAGGTAGTAACGCTAAAAAAATATAAAGGTCATTTCCACTACGGTAAATAAAATAACATGATTTTTTTACATAATATGATTCTTCTAATTATTCTACATATAAAACTTATATGAACAAAATATAATATGTGGGATCATTTGGTGTAATGAAAACGTAATTGCTTATTTCTAAAATTAATCGTTTAATTTCATATTTTTTAAAGCAATTATGTGTTCTTTTCACATAAATTGATTCTCTTTATTATTCTGTTTTTAAAAGTATTCAGGTGCAAATGAGTGTAAAAAGTATTCGTACAAGAAAAATTGTTTTTTATAAAAAAAAATCTTTGTAGAAAATAAATATTAATTAGCAATTGTATACAATAAATATTTTATATAATGAATTGTATACATTTTATTCTAACATAAACGAACGAGCTTCGTATGTATTCCTAATTTTAGAAACTAAATTTCTCGTCTGTACGAATACTTTTTGAGCATTCAAACAATACAATTTTTAATTTTCACTTATTTTTCGAATGATATATTTTATATAATTACACATCTTTTTGATATATATAATTTTAAGAAACATACAGTCCATTTTATTCTTTATGAATAAATTATTAATTATGCAACAAGAAATGATCGTCAATTAAACGTTGAATCATCGATGTTGAAATCATCGTATTTATATCGAGTCGACATCAATTCGATGAATCATTTCTCGCTGGATAATATTTACTTTTTAAAAATAAAGTTTTCTTTTAAATATTTCCTCTGTACGAATACTTTTTGCATTCATTGTATGAATGCTCAATATGACGACAAAATGTTGCAAGTTTTTCCGTTCAACGAA